ATCTTGCAATATATAAGATATCAAAGTTATCCTGAACAAACAACTAAAAATGATAAGAGAACTATCAGAAGAATGATAACAAAAAGAGCCTGGATCAAGTTCTATTGAGGTGTGTAGATACCAAAAAAGCCAAAACTATTCTCGAAGAAGTGCATGAAGGAGTATGTGGTACTCATGCTAATGGGCATACAATGGCTAGACAAATTATGAAATTTGGATACTATTGGTCAACTATGGAAACTGATTGTATCAACTATGCTAGAAAGTTTCACAAGTGGCAAATTTATGGAGACAGGAAGCATACTCCTCCTCATCATTTGCATGTAATGACAGCTCCTTGGCTATTCTCTATGTGGGGCATAAATTTTATTGGACAAATTTTTTACCAAAGCCTCAAATGGCCATCACTTCATTTTGGTAGCAATAGACTATTTTACCAAATGGGTAGAAGCAGCTTCTTATGCGAATATCACTCAATCCACATTCTGTAAATTCTTGAAAAAAGAAACCATTTGTTGTTATGGTCTACCAGAGAGAATTATTACTGACAATGCTTTGAATTTAAATAACAATATGATGAAATTAGTCTATGAATAGCTCCAGATAAAGCATCATAATTCCACCACTTATCGCCCAAAAATGAATGGAGCGGTTGAGGTAGCTAATAAGAATATCAAGAGACTTATAGAGAAGATGATTGAAACCTATAAGGATTGGCATGAGAAACTACCATTTGCTTTGTTACCTTACCGAACTTCAGTACGAACATCAACTGGGGCAACTCCGTTTTCATTAACATATGGGGTGGAAGCAATCTTACCTATTGAGGTAGAAATTCCTTCACTACGAGTTTTATCAGAAGTAAAGCTAGATATGGTAGATTGGGTACAAACCATATATGACCAGCTGAATTTGATTGAAGAAAAGAGAATGAAATCTATTTATCATGGTCAGATGTACAAAAAGTGGACGATACAAGCACATGACAAGAAAGTTCATCTTCGAGAATTTTACGAATGAGATCTCGTGCTCAGAAGGATTTTGCCTTTACAAAAAGACTTCCGAGGGAAATGGATACATAATTGGGAAGGACCTTAAGTTGTAAAAAGGTTTTTTCTGGAGGAGCTTTAGTCCTTGATAAAATTGATGGGCCAGAATTACCTTACTCAGTGAATTCTGACGCGGTTAAAAGATATTTTTCATGAAAGGAAAAAAGGATTAAAGATCAAGTGTTGTTCATCCATATGATTGAAAATAGATTTCAATATGGGAAATGTGGTGGCATACAAAGCAGTTCCATACCTTTATCACAATCTCGAGATCCTTTCGACATAAGCTACGCTTAAATTACTTTACGGCGTGTCAGTTAAAAGGCATTTGTGCTATTGATGTTTGAAGATTCCTACTTTATCTTTTACAAGTAAAAGTTTGCCATATAGATTCTTCGCATGAATAAAAAGAGACATTTTCTTCTTTTTATAGACATCTTTCTTTGAAAATTTAAAACATTTAGTTTAATTTGAAGTACATAAAATCATGGTGTATTATCATGCAAAAAGTTTTTGAAGAGTACAGATATTCTGAGGCTCAGAATTATTTTAACATATGATGACATGATACATGGAACATTGAAGTACATAGAAATTTCAGATACTTGAAGATGATCTGATATATTTTTTATTTGTACTGGTGGAATTCAATGAGAACAAAATAAAGTTCAGGTTCGACCAAAAAGAATCAAGGTGGTCAGTTGAGATAAAATGATTATGTTTGCTGCACACATGATAAGACTAAGTCAAGAATGGACATCAAAAAGGGGTCCTCGTTCGAAGAAAAAGAAAATACCCTGAAACTTTGTCATTGTACACATTTTAGGCATAAATAGGATCATGACACGCATGATAACAAACACAATGTCACATCTGCAGGTTTCTCAAAAGAAAGCCGAAGGTTCAAGATATTGGAACTCTGAAATATGAGTAATCAACTCAAAATCCCTAAAAAGAGGGATATCCAAAGATTGCATAGGTCTAGTATCCACGGAAGACTGGTGGAACAAGTTATTTCCAATGTTTCAGATTTGGTCTCCACGGAAGAGTAGTGGAAACAAATCAAATTTGAATCTGATATTCACGAAAGAGTAGTGAAACAGATTATTTTCAAGTCAATATATCCTTAATAAAAGAGTAGTAAAGCAATGAAAATCTAGCCTTCACAAAAGAGTAGTGAAGCAATGCAAATCTAGCCTTCACAAAAGAGTAGTGAACCAAAGCAAATCCAGCCTCCACGAAAGAGTAATGAAGCAATGCAATCCAACCTTTACAACAAAGTAGTAAAGTAATTCAAATTCGATCTCCACGAAAGAGTAGTGGAAGAAAATCAATCTCGAATCTGATCTTCACAGAAGAGTAGTGAAACAGATTCTCCTCAAGCAAATTCAGCCTTCACAAAAGAGTAGTAAAGCAAGATCAAATCAAAAGTTCGATCTCCATGGAAGAGTAGTGGAATAAATTTTTATCAAAACATGAAGTTAATTGGACGAAAACTTCTAGTCTTTTTATCTATGCTTTATTCTTGTTAACACAAAATAAGCAAACAGGGGCAACTGTCGACAGTCGTTTTCGTCCGAGTTTTATTATAAATATATTATTATAATTTTATTTTGTTTTTATTATTATTATTTATAATTATTACAATTTTGTTACAGTCCTAAATGCAAGGCCCAATTACAACCCGAAGGCCCAAATACAAATAAATTACAACCTGAAGCCCAGTTATAACCAAATCCCAACCAGACCTGGTTTTGACCCAGGTTTGACCCGAACAGCCCAACAGGTCCGAGAAGCATACCCAAGTTTGGTTTAAGGTTTCATACATGTTCCAGCACCACAACAGATCATCACCATTAGATCTGAAGAGATCTAATAGCCTTAAACGTGACTAGCAGGAACCCTAGGGTTCTCATTACACCCTAGGGTTATTTCGGCCGTCACCATAGAAGTGATGATGACCTCGCCGCTGTCACCTCCAACCAGCAACTGCCACGTCCTCGCCGGATCTGCGAGATCTGGGTGCATTTAATACACCCAGTCCCTCAACCGAACAACTCACCACCCCTAGGTGAGTCATCGCCATAGCCTTGATGACTCACAATGGTAACACTCTATTAACCGGTCCGAACGGTGTAACAGGGGAGGCATTAAAAGCCCATTGATCCTGTAAAGAGAAGAACAACAACAAAAAAAGAACAAGCATCCAATACACAGCAACCAAACCAGCAAAATATTAAGAGAATAGAGTAAAGGAAGCCTTACCTTCATCGGAGCATCTACGAGCCTCCACGTTCCACAGGAGAAGTCAAACTTTGAAGGTAAAAAATCCTAGATCTATAATGATTTAGGGGTTATTAGAATAAAAGGCTACCGAATTCGACTTTAGGACGATTTGGGCTTTATTTTGGTGTATTCGGGTAATTTTTGGCCACCGTGAGTGGTGGCTGGCGGTGGCTATCAGCGATGGCGCATGGTGGCCGGCCGGGGACGATCTCCCTCCGGTGAGGGAAATCTAGAGAGATGCGAGAGCTTCTCTTTCTAAGAGAGAGAAGCAAAGAAGGAAAATGAGGTTTGAAGCCTCTTTAGGCCAATTTAGGGTAAATTGTGCCCGGGGTTCCTGTAACCTTGTAATTTAGTTATTAAAAGCATATTTTGTGCATTTTAATTTAGTATTTGCATTTTATTTATTTATGTTTTGGTCACTACTGCATATATATATATATATATATATATATATATATATATATATATATATATATATATATATATATTAGGATAAATATCATATTTACTCCTTAATATTTTTAATAATTTGTAGTTCGACCAGTATAATAATTTAGGGTAAATTACATTATTAGTACATAGTTTTAATAATATTTTAAATTATGTTAATTAATTTTAATATTTTATATTTTAATCATTAATTATTATTATAGGATTAATTACAATATTAGTATTTACATTCATATTAGGATAATTTTATAGTTTAATCTATATAGTTTTCATATTTTATATTATAATAGGTTTGTTTATATTTATAATAGGATATATTAAATAGTATTAAGGAGTTCTTTATTTTAAGTTATTTATATGATAAAATTAAATACAAATTTATTAGTTTATTGCAAAGACAAATCAATTAATAAATATTGGTACCAATTTTGGGCGTTATGGGGTGTTAATCATTCCTCATATGTAACCGACTCCCGAACTCATTTTTCTAGTAAGCAGACCCTTTGTTGTATTATTTTAATATATTCTCAGGAATTTTATTATAATAATATAACATTTAGGTGACCAATCTCACCACATTAAAAGATTGGTGGCGACTCTACAACTTAATGTTTTATCTTATTCAAGGACGATAAACACTTATTTTTTTTCGAGACTAGCTACACTTAGGTGTACTATTTGCACTCTCCGTCGCCGGGTAGAAAAACGTCTCAACATACATGCTTCAATCTCGTCTTTGGTGAATTTGTGTATGCAAATCCTTAACCATTTTGTGAGGTTCAACCAGTTTAGAGATTTCGCCTAAAGAGAGCTAAAATCCCAATTATTTCCCAACTTCTTTTGTATTTGTTGATTGGAGCCTACCTTGTTGTTTGACATCTGGTGAACAACTGAAGTAGCATGCTCTTTATGGCTCCCTACAAGTACCCAGATTTATTGAGAAATAAAAGAGAAAAAAACAACTTTTAACTGACATGCCGGAAGAACCATTCAAAAAGGAGAAATAGGTGCAAGCTTATACTGTTATGCTAATTACAAATGCCAATGGTCTTAACCTTGTTGTGGTTGCAATAAATTTCAGAATTCGGAATTCAGAACAAATTAAAACCTTCCTCCACTTGCAATATCTCAGAAATGTGTCTGTAATCTCAACCGGAGGTTAAGGATAATCAGTTCTTTGAGCAGTATTATGAGCTGGCTGCTTTCTTATTGCTGGTGTTTTTGACAAAACATTACAGGAACCGGAGGTTGGTTGACCCGGAATTTGTGCTAGACTTTGAGGAGATATATATGATTGATTCCAAGACCAAGTCAATTACCAGAGCTAAAGTTTTTGGTAAGTAACTTTGTAGTTGAATCTATATTGAGTACTCTTCTGTTACAAACAAGTCTACAAGGTGACTTGTACAGTTCATTCTCTTTTCAGTATCCTTGAGCTTGCTCTGAATCTTAGTTCAAGGAAACTTGAAGCATCCATTGCTTTGTGTGATTCTTCACTGTCATAAATTAAAGTTCAACTAACCCTACCTTTTTTTTTTTGGGATGAATGACTAAAATTTCATTGACCCAAAGAAAGCAGAGAACAGCTACAAAGGAAAACAAAGAGAACACTAGCTGCTAACAAAAGCAGCTAACTACCCTGTACAAACCAATCTCCATAAACGAACCATAAGCTACAACAAATCAAAGAAACAAAACAAAGAAACATAAGGAAGGACACAACAGCAAAATAGCACAATTTTAACCAATACCCCATGCGATACATATCTCAGCATTTGGCACAGAATCCCTTTAAGCTGATACCACCAGGCGAAACCGAATATCCTCCGTTATCTTGCAAATCAGATCTCCCACAGTACTCCCAGACCCACCAAAAACCCTAAAATTCCTCTCATTCCATAACCTATAAACATAAGAATTCCAAGCAAGCTTAAGCAAAGTAGTGATTGAACTAACCCTACCTTATTGGTCGTTTGCTGCTCATTCTGTGATTTACCATGTTTTAAGTTATCAATCTTTTCTGTAGGTCACGGTTCCAGGAGGAAGAAACCGGGATAGAAAGGGTGACCTACTTGTTATACGTTATAATGGAAACTCCTTCAAAATAATTCATGCGGTAATTATCCCTACTCCAAATCACGTTTCTGTCATGTTCCCATTTTTTGCAATACCTGATTACTTCTATCTTTTGAGCTTTCAGAGTGAAAGAGAGGATCCTACTACTGTAATCGAAAGGGAAGAATGGGATAAAACCAGAGAAGACATGGAAAGACATCTCTGAAAGCTACGAGATTTCAACATTTCGAATTGGTTCTAATTCAATCGAGGTTTTATGATGCAGATAATCATTCAACAAGTCCAGATTGTCTGGTTTTATCAGCATGGTAAGAAAATGAAGGATGAAGTTTCAAAATCAAAACTTGAGAATTAGGATTATAAAAAACCTCACTCCTTTCACCAATGGTTCCCTGTTGAAGCACAAAATCCTTGATATTCTTGGCATTATCCGGGCAGCCTCTTCATTTAGGGTAGGATTAGCCCATTAGGGTTTTTTTCTCTTTTGTATTTGTCCACATGGATGTAGCTCAATTTAAAAAAAATATTAATTTAGCTTTGACAATTTGAGTCAATCTCAACCTGCTCCAGCAAATGTACATTATTAGAATAAAATATTTTAAAGCTAATGTACAAATCGAGACATTGTACAAATTAAAAACAAAATCAGGATTAATTTGACTTAAATGTAAATCCAAGGAAACATGTCATATACAAGTAGTGACCAAAATAGAAGAAAACAAAGTATGGTGTAAGCGTCACGAATATGTAATTTTATAAGGACCAAGCCCTAGTTATACCAATTTTATTAATTGTCATGTAAATACCTTGTTAAATGTTAACAGCAGGTGGCTATATTAAAATAATTTAAATAGTTTTTGTCATATTGACGTAAATTTAAAAATGATGGTCATTTCGAGACCAAATCCATTGTTGGGTGGTCTCATTTATGCAGTTTACCCTCAAATATTTATTCGCTAAATTGTAACACGTGTTAACATGCCTAGATGTTTCGACCAAATACTGAATGTCACCGCACTCCACTGAGTGACTTGGAAATTTTATACGATTAAAATAAATATTTCTACTAATAAAATAAACATTTTAACATAGGTTAAAATATGTACAAATACTTCGGGGTGAGCAAAATTCAACTTGATTCGAAAAACCAAATTTTTGACTCGATTCGAATTATAATTTTAGAAACTCGACTCGAAAGAATTTCAAATTCAAATTGAGTTGTGAAATGCAACTCGAATAGATCAAAATTTTTAGTATCTAGTGGATTTATTTTCAAGTTTGACTCGAGTCCTTAGACTTTGTATGATATATATATATATATATATATATATATATATATATATATATATATATATATATATATATCACATATGAAAAAAATGAAGAAATATATTTGTATTATATATATGATTATAGAAAGTCACTTAAATTGGAATAAAAAATATTATAATAATATAAATATTTACAATTAAATTTAAACGGAAACTCGAAAAATTGACTCGAATTTTATAAACTCAACTCGAAAAATATTTCTAATCAAGTCCGAATTGTAAAATAGGACTCATCAACTCGAGCAAGTCAAAATCTTCCCACCTATATATATATATTAATTATTACTATTTTCTCTGAAGTTTTCCACAAACTAGTTTTTAAGTCTAGGTCATGGCTCCCTATTTGCTTCAACGGACAGCCAAGTGAGCCACACACTGACGAGGGAGACGGTGTTAAGCGAAATTTCAGTAGTTGTTATAACCTCCCCTTCAACCGACCACTTAAATTCTCACCTTACAAATCAAAACATATAAATGTAGCTTAAGCTTAGAGGGTTCTTACCAAATATCAGTGTCGAAAAATCCTCCGGTAACACAAATGAAGATGATGACGGCCGAGCATATGCACCAATCACCAAGTGTTTTGTTTTCAAATGTGAAAAGTAATCGACATGGCATGTTCTCCCACCATTATTCTCACCTTTTTCCTTTAACTAGTATTTTCTCTTAATTTATATAATACTACCCTGAATAATTCCTAATAAAATGTGCTTTAAAAATCCCTTAAAACACCCATTAAACCGTGCTTAATTTCCCTTTCTTTACTACCTTAAACGTAAGATTATGAATAGAGAAAGGTTTTTAACATTTTATTATTATTATTATTCCCACCAACCATTTGTATTCAGTTGAAAATTGAATACAAAATGTGGTGATTACCACCTTTATACATTCCTACGTTTTTAATGTCGCCACTATGTAGTATATGTATTTTTTTATTTTTTTTTTCTTATTATTTATATATATATATAATCAAATTAATCAATACAAAAACTCCTAAATCAAAGTTCAAGGTATTACAACTCTCCCTTACTTAAAGAAATTTCGTCCTCAAAATTTTACCTGAATTAAATAGATGAGGGTATCTCTCACGCATATCTTTTTCAAGTTCCCAAGTCGTTTTTTCCGAATTGTGATTCCTCCAAAGAACTTTGACCAAGGGAATTCGCCTCTTCCTTAAGACCTTCTCATCCCTTCTTAGAATCATAATTGGCTCTCCTCAAACGTCAAATTTGGTCTCACCTCAATTTCTTCAAATGAAACTATAAGTGACGGATCTGACATGTACTTACGAAGCATAGAAACATGCAACACATCATGGATATGTTCCAACTCCGGAGGTAGCTCAAGCTGATATGCCACAGGACCAACTCTTAAGAATATGATATGGTTCGATGAACCTCGGACTTAGTTTCCCATTTTTACCAAATCTGAGCACCTTCTTCCACGGTGAGACCTTCAAAAATACATGATTCCCCACCTCGTACTCAATTTCCCTACGCTTAAGGTCTACATAAAACTTCTAACTTTCGAAGGCTGCCTTAAGACGATCTTGAATCATGCTTACCACATTTTTTGTCTCCTAAACCAACTCTGGACCTAGAACCTTTCGCTCACTCAACTCAGTCCAACAAAGCGGTGTATGACACCTACGTCCATACAAAGCCTTATACGAAGCCATATGGATACTAGACTAATAGCTATTATTATATGCAAACTCAGCTAACGGTAAGTGGACCAACCAACTACCTCGAATCTCAATCACACATCCTCGTAACATATCCTCTAGAATACGTATTACTCATTTTGATTGGCCGTCAGACTGTGGATGATAAGCAATACTGAAAATTAGACACGTTCGCTTTGTGAATTTTCTTCCAGAATCTTGATGTAAACCTTGGATAACAATCAGAAATGATAGATACTGGTACACCGTGTAATCTCACAATATCTTAAATATATAGCTTTGCCAACTTTTGCAAACATTAATCTATTCAAACCGACAGAAAATGAGCAGACTTAGTCAACCTATCAACAATGAATCAAACCAAATCTTTCTTTGAGGGTGTTAACGGTAAACCATATACAAAATCCATGGTGACTCTCTCCCACTTCCATTGCGTTATTTGAATTGGTTGCAATAATCCCGAAGGAACCTGGTGTTCTACCTTAACATGTTAGCATGTTAGGCATTTAGATGCAAATTTTGTTACATCTCTCTTTATACCAAACCACCAATACAAAGTCTTCAAGTCAAGATATATCTTATTACCTCCAGGTGCATATCAAAAGGACTACTATGCACCTCATGAAGTATCGATTGCCTCAACTCTTCATCATTAGGCACATAAAACCTTTCTCGATAACACAAAATTCTATTTTGATCAAAAGTAAAGTTTGAATCTCTACCTTACCCGACCTATTTAACCCGATGTAATAAAGTTACATCCAAAGGCTGTTTCACCTTAATATCCTCCATCAAAGTCGTCTTCAATTGTAACTCTGCCAATAAATAACCATTATCATCATACTCAAATTAGCGAACATAGCTCTCGGATCGATCATCTCCTTCCTACTAAGTGCATCAGCCACCAAGTTGGCATTTCCTGGATGATACTCTATCACACAAACATATTCTTTTAACTACTCAACCATCGGCGCTGGCATAAATTTAACTCTTTTTTATTTAGAAGGTACTTTAGACTCTTATGATCTATATAAATGTAGTACTTCTCTCCGTACAAATAGTGCCTCCATATTTTTAGTGCAAACACTACCGTTGCAAATTTAAGGTCGTGCGTAGGTTAGTTATGCTCATGGGACTTTTAATTGTCGTGATGCGTATGAAACTACCTTACCTTCCTGCATTAAAACACAACCCAAGCCAGAATGAGATGCATCACTATACACAGTATAATCCTTTTCGGACTCAGGTTGAGCTAGCACAGGAGCTTGAGTTAGCACATACTTGAGCTTCTTGAAGCTAACTTCTTGATCATCACCCCAAACTAAGGGTGCATTCTTCCTCAACAGCTTAGTCAAAGGTACAACAATTATAGAAAACCGCTCAACAAATCTTCGGCAATAACCTGCTAATC